TTTCTATAACTTTAACTGTTCCTGATCATCTGTTTTGCTTGTCATTTAAATACTCCATATCACTGTTAATCATAGCTGGGCCTAAAAAGTGTAAATAATCTGAATTTATTCTGGATGTGTCACTCAAGAAAGTGACAACAGTATCTGGGCAGAGGTCATCAGGGTCAGAGTGGTTCTGCACCCGGTCAAACACACTTAAACACACGAAGCTGTCTCACCCTCGCTGACGTCGTGACTGTGCGTGGTGTCAGACTCGTTCTCCGTGGGCATCATGACGTGCCAGGTCGTCATCCTGGCCTCCGCCTCCAAACCGAAGCCGTCCACACTACTGCACACAAACACACACACACAGGAGCTAAGTATCATGCTGCCCTGCAGAGAACTGAGAGGAGGGTTTGATTATTTGGCTTCTCAATGGCAAACAGGTCTGATCTCTGCAGTCAAACACAGCGCCGTGTTAGAGAAGGCTGTGTTCACCACATGGCTGGACATCCAGTGTGTCCACACCTGCTGCTGTGTGAGGAAAAAAATGTTTTTTACCCAGAACCAGATACATCCCCTGCTATCACAATCCACCAGCATGTGAGCAAACCTGACAAAGTCCAGGTTTCAGAAAATAAACATAAGGAGGTGAGACTCAGATAATCTCACAGAGTTTAACTACAAGAAGGCAAAACAGTGAACAAAATAAACACACGATGCAAACTTTTCTTCTGTCTTCTGTGCAGAATTTGTGTTTTCTAACCCTTTACGTCATTGTCTTTTGCAAACAGAAGTTTGTGACATAACCGTAGAAAACGTGTTTGTTGATTATTTATCCCATGCATAATTCAGCTCTTCTGTTTTATCAGGACATGTGGACAATCCAGAGCTGTTCTGCACTATGAAATCTGTTGAACACCTTTAACCCTTTAAAACCGGTCAGAGCAGCACGCTCTGTTTTGCGTAACTATTTTTAAATCCCGGTAGATCTGCAACCACGTAAGCTAGCGCAATAATTTTTTTGTTTGCTTCCACATATAACTTTGCAAAAGCTGCATAAAAAGCACTTGCAGCAACAAAAACATAATATTCCAGAAACACGCTTTGCCGATCCGATCAGCTGTTC